CAGATAGCCCATTGTATAGCTTTGTGTTTAATTCCAAACAAACAAAATATTTTTCAACATAACTACTCATAAAGCTCAAAAATAGTTAAATTATGATTTTTTAATAGCTACCCAATTTAACTAATAAAAACCACAGAAGGTGATTCTACATAAACAACCACTGGAAGCCACACACACTACTAATCTTCCACTAATTCGGCAAATATAACACACGAAGGAACGGTAGTTCAGTATCCAACAAACAGCCCATACTAATTTGGTTCAAATGTTTATGAAGATTGCCTTTGATAATTTAGATTTCACATTTACTTGAAAACTGTTACTTGATCTTCTTGATAAACTTGACCAATCGATCTTGATCTTCTCTCCAAAAAATGGTGTATCAACTAAAACAAGAAACGGGATCGAAACCCGTCACCGAACATATTCGCCTATTCAGCCGTGGGAGCGTTATAGTGTGATGGTTAATCTCTCATTTCGTTGTTGAAGAGTATCTCAAGAGTTGGCGGTAGGTAGTGTTCGCTACCTGTCGTCCATCTAATATATTACTTCTAAGTTAAGAGTAGCTTTGCTCAAAATGTAAGAAACAGACAAAAATAAACCAAAACAATGTAACTTTTCTGCAAACCTCGTCATTGGCAGGTAGGTTACGAATGAAATTTAGACCCCACAATGATCTTAGATCAAATGCGTTTATGAATTAGTTGAGGTGTGTACGTATAGTATAGAACAATGCTTTAAAGATCGCGCATTGGAGTCTATACTGAACTCAAGACTAACAAGTTGGAAAAAAAATTATAAACGACTTTGATACTCCCGAACACATTTATTTATCGGTCATAAACTAACTGTATCAGTTACATAGCCTCTTGGTTATGTTACATGACTCGCGAATCCTATCACAGAACATGCTCGTGGGGTCGTTATAATGAGACGGTCAATCCTACTATTCGTTGATAAAGAGTAGCCCAAGAGTTTGGGGTGGGTGGTGTTGACTAGCTACCTTCGCGTTAGCATATCACTTCAAAATTAGGGGCAGCTAACACAGACAGCCCTCGAGTAGCTATGTGAAAAATTCAACAAACAGATTTCATACGCAGATAGCGAAATTCAAAACATGCAGATTTAATGTACTGATAAAGCAAAATAAACGTATATAAGTAAATGTTTAGATTTTTCGAGTACTGTGATCGGTCTTTAGTTTGATTTGTTTTTTATTTGGGGATAAAATTTGAACATTTTAAGATTATGTTTGATCATAATCTTCCAATAACACTCTGAGACTATAAAAAGGAAAAAAGCTAAAGGAATTTTTATAATTGTTTATTTATACACAAGCTCTGAATCACAGTCGCTTACTCTAAGCATATAATAACCGTGTCCAAACTCAAACAAAAAATAATAATGGTTTACTTGGCTAAAAAGATGACACTAATCTTGTCGACATGCCTGCCATTTTGCTTGTCAAGTCTTTGTAAAACCAGTTGGATTCGCCTGTCAAACACTTGTAACATTTTTTTTCCTCACTCCTCTCTGATATTTTCCAAACATCGTACCTCGACAGAGAACGCTTCTCATTGGACCACTCGGATACGACCACCTTTGGTGCAAGCGATTGGCAGAGTATATCTAAACCACCGGCCATAACACTGAACAACTCACCTTTTCTGTTCCGCTTGTCATCCAGACAATTATTAAAAAATAAAAATAAAACAGACAGTTTTTGAATGTTATATCACTTGAACTAGTTCCACTTCTACAGGGTGTATCTCATCTAAGTAGATGGGCAATATTAGTGTTAGCTACTGATAAAAAACGGCATAAAAATATGTTATATCACTTGAACTAGTTCCACTTGTACAGTGTATATCTCATTTAAGGAGGTGGGCAACATTAGTGTTAGCTACTGATAAAAAACAGCATAAAAATAGCTAATAAACTCGCGGTTTTTATTTAAAAATTAAATAACATGTTAGTACCATTAGTGCAACTGCGTGATTACGTTGCTATGTAGAAAAAAACACACCAAAACATGGATTTTTTTAAATATATTCAAAGGATATGATATCTGTTTTTAATTTAGAAGAACAAAAAAAAACTCTCTTGCAACCATATTTCGAAGTAGATGGTTGTGTTGCTAAGTGTCCGACACAACCATGTTTGAAAGTATATATTATTATTATGTTGCTAAGGGTCTCACATAGCCATGTTATAAAGTACTTATTATTATTATGTTGCTAAGGGTCTCACACAATAATGTTATAAAGTTAGAAAGCATATTATTGTTATGTTGCGAAGTGTTTCATACAACCATGTTATAAAGCATATTATTGTTATGTTGATAAGTGTCTTATACAGCCATAACGCAAAGTATCTTACTATTATGATGCTAAGTAGAAAAAGGCTTAAACAGCAAAGCGTACAATTGCATAATTTATGCCGTTAATTATTTTAAAAAACGTGATAACACCATAGGAAGAATGTGATACAGACTCGTGTGAAATTTAATAATTTATGATCCCACTAAAAAACAGAACTGATACAGCCATTCATTATTCCGATTATTAAAGAACTTTTCATACAATTAACTTTGAATTTAATAATTTATGCATTTAATTAGAATAGATTACATTATATAGAGCCATTTATGTAAAATAAATTACGTGTTGATAATCATTTGATCTACGTTTTGGTTTGAATAAATCTCGCCAATTTACACGATCAACACAGTGTTGATTAAATATAAAATAAGCAATTTAAAAGTAATTAGAAAATTCCGGTCGTTATTGTAAAAACACAATTTTGAATTTCAAATAACGCAATATAATAAAAAAACACGTAATTGAAACGTAATGAAGATAAGTTTTGGAGGCTAATTTAATACATTATTTTTGCGTACCTATTATTGCACTGTTCAAATACATGCCCCCCCCCCCTCCAATGGCACAGCAGTATGTCCGCGGACTTACAATACTAAAAACCTGGTTTCGATACCCGTGGTTGGCAGATAGCCCACTGTGCAGCTTAGTGTCTAGCTACAAACAAACAAAATCAAATACATTTGTTTTTCCTTTTTTTTATATGGATTGATATAAATGTCTACGTTACTGTGTAGTTGTACTAATAGATGAAACATGGTCTTTTGTGCAGCTATATAAAGTATATCTTCATTAAACTAAGTTAGGAACTATATACTCCTTTAACTAAGTTATCATGTATATCCACGTTGATCTAAGTTAGGAACTATATACTCCTTTAGATAAGTTATGAAATAAATACACGTTAAACTGACTTATGATGTATATCCACGTTGATCTAAGTTATGAAGTATATCCACGTTAAACTAAATTACGAAGTATTTTCACGTTAAAGTTATGAAGTATATCCACTGAAAATTACATCCGCATTACCTCTTCCATATACGACTGTAGATGATGTGTATGTATGTGTTTTGTTGTAGCAAAGCCACATCGGGCTATCTGCTGCATCAGCCGAGTGGAATCGAACCTCTGATTTTAGCGTTTTAAATACGGGGACATAGAGGACGTACATAGTTGCCAATTAGAATAAAATTCTTATCAACATCTTTAAATCAATCAACAAATGTAATATTTAATATTTCACTCGGTAATAACTTTTTAACTTTTCATTTTAAAAAGCACAACGTTGATGAATTTTAAAATCTCAAATATGAGACGATTTAAAGTCTTAAATGGAATTAGCTTTAGTTTTCATTTAAACTCGAAATTTACATATGAAGTTTTAATTTTTCAGAATCCCATTTTCAGTTAATACTTAAGGAATCTGCCTTCAAGTTTTCGTCACTTGTGATGCCCCCTAGTGGCACAACGGTAAGTCTGTAGGCTTATAACGCTAAAAATCTGGTTTCGATACTCTTGGTGGACACATTACAGATAGTTAAAAATGTAGTTTTGTGTTTAAAAACAAGCAAACAGTCGCTTGTGTTTTCATTTTGTCGTAGTCCGATTCGTTGCTTTCGGTTTTGTAAACTATCACACAAATGTATATACGACAAACCGATAATAAAATGTATCCATGTGCTAAAAATTATGTTTGCTATTCACTTATTTGCTACTTAGTTAACCAAGAAATATTAAATTCATTGTGGAAAAAAAATATTCACTAGTTTAACATCTGTGTCCTCAAAGTTAAAAAGAAAAAATATATTACTTAACTCTTTGTGAATTTCTAAAAAAAAAGTTTGTCTTAAAAATACTTAGGGTAAATATAAGCTCGAAGCGCACTATATTCCTGAACAATAATGTTGCTGTATAGACGAGTGCAGTTGTTAACAGTTTTCATGAAAGTGGCATATAACAGACAAACAGTCATATAGCTTTCGATAAAATACTGATTTATTTAACAAATTTAATTAAAACATATTTGACCATATTCAAGCCCTTTAAGTTGTCTTTTAGTCTAATATAATGTTACAAAACAAATGTACCTGACTTGTTACATTTAGTTAAAAACTGGATCACTTTATAAGTGATTTGCTTCACTAAAAGAGATTTCGCTTTTTTAAGCTTAAATTTGTGATATACATAATAATAAACTTGTGGTCTTCGATAGACATTTGACCTGTTTTTGATAACTATTATTATTAACTTCTGATCAAAGCAAGCTACCTACGTAGATCATAGTGAAAAATGAAAACTGGTCCAGTAATTAATATAGCAAATTTAATATACCGGTCTAACTAAAAGCACGCAATGTTATACAGTAAAACTTATAATGATTGTAAAGCATTGATTCATAAGTTGGATATCCTCGCTAAGGCGGAAAAATTAAAGACACTCAAAAGGTTCATTGGAATCATTCAGACTTTTATATAGAAATGTAAAGGCAATATCTTTAAAACTGTAAAAAGTAATCATACTAAAAGAATGACACATCAACAATGTATTTATTGGAAAAAGTTTGTTTGTTTGTTTTTGAATTTCGCGCAAAGTTACACGAGGGCTATCTGCGCTAGCCGTCCCA